GTGTGTGTGTGTGTATACGCCAGTGTGTAACTGTCAAACCGGGGGTGTGGACATACTGTATTACTTGTCACTTTCTGTCTTGTGGCATGATGACTTTGTGTCCATTCTATATGAGTGGTTGCAGCGGGGAGGGGCACTGGTAGGTGCTGCTTCTTCTTTCTTTCCCTCTGTTGTTTCTGTCTGTCTTATTTGTTACTTCTATTATTTTTGTCTGTCTGATTCTTTCCTTCTTTTTTCTATCTTGCTGTCTTATTCTTTCGTCCTATCCTGTCTGTCTGTCTGTCTGTCTGTCTGTCTGTCTGTTTTTTCCCTGCGCTAAATAAGTGCTGGCGTCTATGGTGTAGCGGTAGGCGCTTCGTGGCGCAAGCAGAGTTCGATTGGCCAAATTATAAATGAACGTTATTACATTTATATAATGTTTCTCTTTACTTAAACAAACAAACAAACAAATAAACAAATAAACAAACAATCTGTTCTGCTCATCCACAGAATCATGGACAAACAATGAGGTCACAGTACAACTGGCTTGCTCCAGTGGGGTAATTTTTTTGCTTCAGTTTTGATCGAAACACGAACCGGGAGTTCTGAGGGGAATGGTTGTGTGGTCTAAACCTTGGGATAAAGAAAAGAAAAGAAAAAAAAAAACAAGAAAAAAAAAACATCCATATGATTGGTGTTAATTTTTTGTTCATGTAGATGTTTTTACACCCCAATCGACACAACTTATTCTATTTAGGAAGCGGACTTTCGACCCTGTCTGTCAGCTCCAACCTTCGCTAAGAGGTATACAATATCCCAGAAGAAAGACCAACATACTCTATATAAAATGTTCGCGCTGGTAAATCAAGCTCGGGGATGTCGGTACATGGTCATGGTGGAAACTGGGAAATAATAAAGAAAGGTACAGACATCTATGTATATTATGTATGTACATCATAGTCAACTACAATTACGACGCTCTGATGTAGTCTCCTTGCCAGTGAACAAAGAAAAAAAAATGCACGTTTTCTTAATCTAATGACTTGATAGTAATTCCTGTTTGTGTCTTCCACTGGTTTGCTATGAGAGACAGATAGACAGACAGACAGACAGACAGACAGACAGACAGACAGACAGACAGACAGACAGA